CAAATTCTTGATTTTTGTTCCGCGCTCCAAAAGTGTCTTTTCTCGATCATGATAAATTCGACCTCGAAAAACATATCCAGTATCTGTAAGAACATCCATATAGCTGTTACCTGCAACAATGCTGTCTTTATCATCAGCAATTACCCATGCAAAAGTATTGTGATACTGATTTTTTAGACGATCTACCAGACGAATATAAAGAGCTATTTTCATTTTTTGAATAGCGACAAGATCATCTGGCCATTTGCCAGAGCTTTCAAATTGTATAATAACATCGATAGGTTCGACATAATGCGTGATTTTTGTTGAAAAGGATTTCAAAGAATGTAAATTCACGGGTTGCGGAATGAAAACCGAAGAGTATCTTAATATGGGACTTGCCCCTCTTATGCTCGAAACTCTTAATGGAATATCCTCGAGGCCATTAATTTGCTTGATGAATGAATTAAATGCAGCCATCACAGGTTGAAAACCTAGATGTGCAATTTCAGGATTGAATAAGCTAGACGGTACATTTGCAGCTGGCCTAATAAATGCATTTAATTGCCCTGCCCAATAACAAAACCCTTCTCTATCACGAATCCCAAAGTGATGCTTAAGTAAGTGGGACACAATTTGACTAACAATTAAACTTCTTGATTCAAAACTTTTGGCATCCTCCCACACAACAGATTCCGAAATACTTCCGTCTTTGAAGCGACGAAGTTCAGCTTTGCTTCCCCATAATTTTCTAAACTTTGCTGAAGCGACCTCATCTTCGGGAGATGGTCCATAATCAACGACACGATTGGAATGTTCTTGATTAAGGATAATTCCAAGGAATAATGATACAGTTCCTGAAGAATAACTTGGGGGATCTTGTGTTATTAACCATCTCGGCAAGTTTTTGTAATTTACTGTTATTAAATCGATTCTGTCGGTGAGTCCTTTCTTCAGTAAACTAGGAACAACCCTTGCAAAGTGAATAAATCTATCAGGGAAGTCAAGTTTTGCCGCTTCCGTGTATAGAAAATATTTACTCGGTATATTGGATATTCTTTGAAGAGAAAAAATGTTATGCTTTAGAGAAATTATTATGTTTATCATGGGATATTAAGTAAAACTTACTTTATTAGATCATCAAATCTTAACTTAATATCATCAACTTTACGAAGAAACAACGATTCGAAATGGTCGTCTTTACTATCATTAAGGTATTTCATAGCCAATTTTGCCTCATGTTGTACCTGTAAATGCAAATGGATATGTAAGAATTAAAACAATCATAGCATGGTAATTTTCTAAATTTGTGAATACATGCCTGGTCAAAAGCTGCCCGAGATATTCCGCCAAATAAATTTAGTTTGCAATGCATATCAACAAACACAATGTCATAATTCTCGGTGAATGCTTTTTCAGAAAACTATATTTAAAGAAAGTTAACCAAATGTGAATCTTCAAAAAAAAATAATTAATCGAATTTCTTAACTTACCTCATCGGATAATCCAGCTTTATTCATGAAAATTTGATTGTTCGTAAAATCGTGATTTGCTTAAATATATTGATTTATGTATTTAATAAACATAATAAACTAACCAAAAAAAAAAGAAAGCAATAAAATTATTTACCAAGAAAATCCATAGTTCCCTTAAACAATTGATATGAACTAAATCCATTCGCTAATTTTTTATTTCCATTTGGTCCACCACCTCGAAGCAAGTAAGCCATCAACATTGTCCACAGGAACCCATTGAATCCACAACTCCCATCTTCCTCTGTACCAAATCCTCGTTGATTTAGCCATATTTTAGCCAATATGCAAGCATCTTGGAAAGCGGGACAAGCTTTTTTTTGCTGATGCAAGAATAAAAGATGAGAAATAAAAAAAATGTCTTGTAAAATTGCGAGGTTATATTGTGGAGTGGGAACAAGAGCCGTCTTATCAGAATCTTTTTCTAATTGCTGTTTCCCTTCGAAAACGCGTGGGCGAACATTATTTTTCGATGGAGCCAAACGGTGAATTGAAAACAAATCAGGTGGAATACCAGGGAAAATTCGGATTATATATGGAATTTTAGAAAAGTATTCATTCAAATTGTCTATATATAGTATAAAAGGATCACCAATTAATTTAGTTTAAATAATATGATTAATCGCTGAAGAATAATACGCACTTCCGGAAGGCCTAACTAGTAAAATGGGTCGTTTTCTATCTCCCTTATAAGTCCCAAACTCAACGCTGAAAGTCGTTTTATACTTTTTATCTTGTAAAGAAGCCGCAAGCATTGCAAGATAATACGCTCTCTTATAAAAATACCGATAATTCAAATAATCTTTTTCTTGAAAGATTGACTAAATAAATAGAAAAGGAATTTTTATTTTGGATCTTATTTCTTGTATATTCACTAATTCACAGGTTACCTACCGGTGGCATCATGACTACAATATCGACATTGAAGCCTTTAGGACCACGTGTTAAAATTTTCAATGGATAACTTCCGATCAAATGTATTGATATGGGCTTTTTAAAAGCGAATTTATATTGAACATCATCAGATGGTATTGGTTCCGGAAATGGAATAACTATTTTATGCTTCTTCTTCAATCGTTGCTTAATTTGCACGATCTTTATTATTTACGACACATGAGAAATAAATTTATAAAAGGAAGGAAAAGTATTATAAAGATCAAAGTATTTTTAAACATTGCCCGCATACATTACTTCCCGGCTGATCAGGTATACTATCAAAAGCCTCCTTTATTTGATGCAAATTATTCTCTAAAAATTTGGCCTCCTCATAATCGATTTGAACTTCTGATAAAAGTTCATCTATCTACATATACATAACAAATTTAATCCAAGTTTCAATCAAAAATAAACATACTCTCTATGTCTTACTTTAAGTTTAAATATATTAGATTTATAAAGATCAGCGGTCTCTTTTAACCCTTGAATTTCTTCATTGGTAGGAGCTCTATATAAATGTGAACTATCCTTTGCTGTTTCGCTTTTTCCCTCGACATTGAAACCTAAAGAGGAGGTGTGTGAGCTCATGTCGTGGTAAGACCAAATTATTATGATATTACCTATAAATACTTTTTTTTGGCGCGAGTCGAATTTTTTACAATGTAATAATGAATATAATGTGAGTCACCAGCACATGATTGTTTCGTGAATTTTATTGGCCTTGAGACAATGAACGTTTCCTAATTATAACGATAATATTTTTACACCTTTATCTCTCATTACTTCCACGTGCTTTTTTCTTGTAGAAATCAGAATCCCGGAAAAGAAATGAGCGCCGAAATGATTCAGACAACAGACGATTCTGATGATTTACCAACGAGGTAGGCGAACAGAGTATTAAAGAAAATTTATTTAGTAAAGTCTCGTATCTGAATAATAACCGCAAATTTCATAATTAAACTTGATAGTCAGACAGTAGTTTCTTCGAGTATTGTTATTCCTTCAACGTCATCAGCAAGACGTTCATCTCGCTATGACGAGGATCAACACTCAAAGAGACGGGCCAACGAGGACAGTAAGCGGTCTCTTGAGGAGGTGAATAATTTATCGTTAATTCATTGATCAATCTGATCTGCACGTTATTACGAACGTCTTCATGTAATTGATTCCATTTTAAAACTTGGATGAACACAGAATAAACGTCCTCGCTTAAATGTAGAAGACGGCGAGTTCAAAAAACGCGGTCAGAGGATGTTTGGAATGATTTTGGGAACACTGACGAAATTCAAAAATGATAGTCAGAACAAGAGTGAAGCTGTAAGCAAGCATTAAAACGATTGACTGTTTTAACATAATGCCTAATTTAAGGGATCAAGATTTA